TTGGTCAGCGTGAAACGCGCTGACGTCGCTGACGAATTGTAAACCGACGCAACATTCATACAAAATCGCATGCGGTTCGAAATGTCAATGCATCTGGACGCCTGCATAGCGAAATTCGCGGGGAAAAAAATCCCACGCATCACAAACAAAATGCCAGCCAAACGATTGAAGAAACCGGTGTACAGCCATTCGTTTCACCCAATCAAATGCGCAGATTTGTGCATTTCGCCTGGTCGCCTAGTGTCGTGATACATTCATCTCTTGTGACGCGAGATTGACAAAATGTTTCGACGCTGACAAAATTAGAAGGAAGAAAGAGGAATGAACTAGCAGAAATGGGGATACAAATAGCAAACCCTAGAAGGGTTGTACTCGCTATAGAGCACCCCACTACAGGCTAGAACATAAGAATAATATTCTGACACACCCCCATAGCCAAAGTGGGGTGTAATCAGCAGAGCAGGCAAAGCAAAACAAGCTCAGGGTGGATCACAATGTCACCACACATTCTGAGCACAAGTTCAAGAAGAAATAGTTTAGAGTTCACAATTATAAGCAAAGCTAGTGGTAGTCACAACGGGCAAGTGAGGAGGAGGAGGGAGAGTGAGGGGAGAGGAGATAGGAGGCGACGGCTGAAGCTGCAGACACACGGGCAGCAGGAGGCAGACTGGCACAGCGGCTACCGGACAGCGCCCGGACTACAGGAGTAACAGGCCCCGCGGCTCAAATGGCGGCGGACGGGCAACGGACCCACAGGCGGCTGGCGTAGAAGTCTAGCTCACTGGGCTACCGGGACAGCGCCCCGGACTACATGTGCTGCTGACGACAAACTGGCAACCTCCGCTCATCCTCCCGCACACAGTCCCACCCCCCTGATACACACCCACTGCTACACCGCTAGCTCTACTCCCACTGACAGACGCGACTCGGGAAAACGGGGATTGAGACACAAGTGTCAAGGCAGGAATGTACCCTAAGCGCATTGCTCCAGATACAAGTGCATGCGCCTTTAAATGGCCTGCGCTTATATCCGGGGCTATACGGTACTTTCTGTCAACCTCCTCGGTTGACTCGCCGTTGCTCCGCTCGTTTGCAGTCTATTGTTTCGTCACAACAGGAGCGTTAAATTACTTGTTTCCAACAGTCGGGTCATAGACTACGGTACCGTATCGCCCCGGATATAACCCCAGGCCTATGTTAAGCGCATGCGCTTCTATCTGGAGCAATGCGCTTATGGCCGATCCTCAATTAGAAGCGCACCCTCTTAAAAACCTTACTTATTATAAGCGCACTCTTGCTATATAGACAAGAATGTCTGTTGTTTTTTCACTTTCTTTACTACCTTCGTACAAACCACATTACTCTAGCTAAAAAATTCAACTAAAACTTTCAAGTCAAATACATTAGACTAGCATCCTAGCCTACACGACATTTTTAAGTTTAGTCTAGCCTAAGGCCTACTCCTCATCCGACTCAGGCTCCGTGGAGTTGTTGCCAAAGAACCCGTCTGCTTGGATGTCGTCATCAACCTCTACCTCGTGGGATAGCTGGCCTCTCCGGTGCGCTAGCACCAGTCCGTCTTCACTCCCGTCAAGGGCATTGCTGATGCCGCAGGTGAGGAACGCTCTCTTAATCAGGTCGGCGGGCACAGCTTTCCACGCCCGTGAAATCCACTTGAGCACCACCTCCGGAGATGGTTTCTTAATGTTCCCTGCACCACATACACGGGGGTGGGAAACACGTGGGTCCACAAGTAGGCAGACATACAGACGAAGCGGTCACGGGAGAACACTTTTGCGTACCTGCGGGTGTCAGGATGTTCATGCCGTCCTGCTCGAACCAGGTCTGGTACTGCTGCCGAACACTCGCCTTGAAGCTTTTGTTGACCGACACATCGAGGGGCTGCAAGTCTGCCGTGCATCCCGCTGGGATGACCGCCGGCACGATGTTGAGTTCCGCGAACTTCGCCTTGACTTCGGTTGTCAGGTGTCCACGATAGGAGTCGAGCACTAGCATGGCGCTCCGGCTCTGCAATCCGAACTTCGGCTTCAGGTTTGGCACCACGCCTGCACCGAGCCACTCGATTACGCCCGAGGCCTCCATCCACCCATTAGCTTGGCAACCGACCACGACATCTGCATACAAGCAAGCGGTGGTTAGATTTTACTTATGTTTTTCCCCTCGGAAACACGCGCATACGCAGTTTCTTACCGTTTGGAAAGTCACCCTTTGGGAGGGTCTTGCGCTTGAAAAACACCCACGGCTTCAACTTCTCGCCCATCGCCGTGCACGCCAGCATCACAGTGACTCTCTCTTTGTGGTAACCACCACTGCGGATGGGCAAAGACTTCACGCCCGTCTGCTCCACCGTGGTAGTCGCCGGCATCTCCAGCCACAAAGGCGTCTGGTCGACATTGATGATGTAACGATTGTCGATGTCGTAGTCGTGGCGTGCGTCGCGGACAAACTGCCAAAATTCCTTGCACTGCTTGGCCACGTCTGCGCACGGGGAGGGAGGAACGATTACAAGGGCGGATGAGCACCGCTACAGATAAGGAAACATGGGCAAGAAAGTACTGAAATACAAGATAAAATTTCACGATAGGATGACAGTGCACGGACAGGCACTTACGCTGCTGTGTCTTTTGCGCCACCTTTGTTTTCATGCGCACGGTGAGATTCCACCGCTTGCGGAACCGCTCTGTCCAGCGCTGACTCGCCTTCCACTTGACGTCCGGGAACAACACCTTCATCACCTCTTTTGACCACTCTTGCAGCCGGCCGACTGATACTGCCACACCGCGGCGTCGCCAGTCCAGGAGTTGGGCGTACACCTTCATCTCCATGGGTCTGTACCAGGAAGACCTTCCGCGCCCATGAAGTCGACACCGAGCACTGTGTGCAGCCTTGAGCTCCTCCGCTTGGTTTTTCCACTCTGTGAGGCATTTGCGGTGTATGCCGAACTCCCGCGCGACCTCGCTTACCGATGCAGCAAGCTCCAGCCGAACGAGCCACTTCAGTTTCTCCTGGGCGGTGTAGCGCTGCCGTTTGTGTTGAGTCGGCTTGTGCCTGGGAGAGGGGGGGCGGGCATCTCGGTTCTCAGAGGAGGGGTGGGGTCGTTTTTTGTTAATCGACGGATACGTTGGTATCGGCATCTTCTCGCGTGGTGCGTCGCGCCACCAAGACTCCACACCGTCGTCGTCCGCGTCTGTAGCTTCACGATCTGAGAACACGTCCTCCTCGGCGCCCTCTTCACCGTCGACTCCACCGTCGCCTCCAGCATCGCCGTCGCATGTGGGTTGTTTATCGGCGGCCACGTCATCGTCGGCGCCCACAGCCGACTCGTCCCACGTGCAGGCTTCAGGATTTCCCCACCGAGGTGCAGTCGGCGGACCATTGATTTGCCTAGCCTTGGGTGTGTCCGGTTCAGACAACCACTCGTCGAAAGTGGCAGGCAAATATAACTGGAGCACGGGCCGATGGTGACCCCACGCGTCAGGAACAGGAGGAGTCGGAGGATTCGGAGGAGCGGGAGGAGCAGGAGGAGCAGGAGGTGCAGGAGGAGCAGGTGGAGCAGGCGGTGCAGGGGGTGTAGGTGGCACTGGAGGCGCTGGTGGCTCACGTGTATACCACCCGTCCGAGATTAGTCGCTAGGCGCGGGTTGGTTTCTTCTTGAAAAGGAGGTGCGTCCCACTGAATTCCGCCATGGCTTTGCCAGCCAGGCGGGCTAGACTAGAAACTGAATGAAAAAAATGAGGAGGAGGGTGCAGAAATGGGCAATGACGGGGACCCGTGCGGGCTAGCGGCCCGGGGTCCTCGTCAATGACAGGCAGGAAACCCCCGCCTACCCCCGTAGAGGAACCTGCGTGGCAGCATATTCGCTGCGCTGGCAGGGAATCTTCCCCACCCTTCGAGAGGGTTCGGAAGAAATGCAGATGCCACGCAGCGCATGCGGCTGTGATTGGGCCGCACGGCAACATCCCCGTCACTCCTGTCACATTCGATGGTTCTAGACAACTTTGTGCGGTGGGAAACCGAACCGCAGCTGTTTTTGCCTGAAAATCATGCACGATCCCACCTGTTGCATGGTCCGTTGGATTCGCCTTATTGCGGGCTTCAGTTTAGTATGTTTAAAAGTGAATTTCATTTTTTCCTTATTATAGGCGCATGCGCGTATACAGACACCTCAATTAGAAGCGCACCCCCCCAAAAAACACTGTTTTATTATAAGCGCAACTGCGCTTTTGTCCGGGGTAATACGGTACTACCATAGCCTTGCTCGCCAGTGACACTCGGGTCGGGCACAAGCAGGTAGGCATACGCAGGTGTGCACAGTGCAACGGTTGAAGTGGTGGAAACACTGGTGGTAAGCGAAGCTGGTTTTCTTGGACATTTTTTGTAACCCCTGAAGCTCTATAAGCAGTCAAAAACTTATTTCACCTAAACAGCAGTTGCTGCCACGTACATCATGGGCCATGGCACCTATAACGTGGTTCACCACTAAGCTGTGCACGGCATGCAAGCGCGGTGCTACAAGCCATGAAGGCGGTTAAAGAGGAGAACAAGCTGCTCAAATGACAGCTCCTCAGGACGTGCCTGCAAGCAGCGCACACAGGCAGTGATCGGCGCGCAGGCAGTGAGAGGGGTGCAAGTAAGCTATGTGTGCATGTGTAATGGTATGGAACGTGGGACTAACAGGGCTGATTCGATCGAGTGTCAACTAGGGTGGAAGGTAGTGAAACGCATTACTGCTTTGCAACGAAAGTGCAATGGGCTGTGCCAGGCAGCGCAACAAGGGACGGAACATGGGGCTTGGAAGGAGAGGCACTGTGGCGTGCGCTTCAGAGGGGCCAACAGCGATTGAGAACACTCAGCTACCAAAGCTTACCTGCTGCATCCCTGTCAGCACACCACCCACTGCACCTCCCCGTGTGCACTGCACCTCCCCGTGTGCACTGCACCTCCCCCCTGAGCCCCTCTAACGGCACCACGTGGCTCACAGTGGCGGGCAGCGAGAGCGCCTCCAGAGCAGCGGACACCTGCTGTGACGAGTAGGACGGCTGCAGCGACGCCCGCAGCATCTTGCGCTTCGCCTGGAACGCCCTGTTCACCTGCCCTTGTGCCGGTGGGGTGTGGGGGACAGCAGGAGTGTCAGGGCAGGACTGACGACAAACCAGATGGTGCAGCGATAAATGAGTGACAGAGTGTGTGTCAACACACACTATCCAACACCTCCGTGGCAACGCGTGTGGGCTAATGAGCATGGGTGGCACCGTGTTGTGAGGAGCGTTAGGGTGGTTACCATGTGGAAGAACTGGGTGGGCGATGCCACGTGGACTCGTTCCATTGGTGGCTTGAGGGCGAATGACACGACTGCTGCATCAACCTGGTCCATGGGAGACACGACGAGACATGAGATGGTCATTAAGAGAGCCCAGTTGAGGAGATTGATGCAACTGCGTGGAGCAGAAACGGAGGACAAAAGAAAGGTGTCACATGCACAGGGTGCCATTGTGCACATGACATGCACAGGGTGCCATTGTGCACATGACATGCACAGGGTGCCATTGTGCACATGACATGCACAGGGTGCCATTGTGCACATGACATGCACAGGGTGCCATTGTGCGCAGGGTGCCATTGTGCACATGACATTGGGTACTGGAGGCATGCAGCACGGGGCATGGGGCACGGGGCACGGGGCATTGGGCATGGGGCATGGGGGGAATGGGGCGTGGAGCATGGGGCATGCAGATTACGGCATGCGGCATGGCGCTTGCGGCATGGGCACAGGGCACGGGGCAAGGGACATGGGCCATACATTGGGTGGGGGTAGGAAGCTGCGACGGCTGACGAAGAACTGATAGGTGGGATCTGATGGGCGCCCGGTGATGCACCGGTGGGGGAGAGTGAGCGATGGGGCGAGAGGAGTGAGCGATGGGGAGAGGGGAGTGAGAGACGGGGAGAGGGGAGTGCGAGATGAGGAGGGAATTGAGAATAAAGGGTGCAGAGTAAGAGATGAGGAGATTGCAGAGTAAGAGATGAGGGGATTGCAGTGTATTGGGGAAGCAGTGACATGGTGCTGCTTGCTGAGGCAGAGCCGAGTGCTCACCTGCACGAACACTCATAGAAGAGGCAGAGCAGAGAGCTCACCCGCATAGTACTGCACCAACACACTCACCCGCATAGTACTGCACCAACACACTCATCGGTCGGTACTGCGACGCTGCCGGTGTGGCATCCACCAGCCGCTGTGCCGCGTCATCCTGCCCGGTGGGGAGTGGTGGGGGATGGTGAGAGATTTGGGGGGATGTGAGAATTTCCTACACAGGTGGATATTATGCTTGCAGCCATGCATCACAGCATACCCACACACCATGCCATCACCCCACGCCCTCCCAGCTGTCACCTGCAGCCCGCCATCACACCATGGCCTAGCAGCACCTCACCTCACCTGCAGCATGCCTCACCTGCAGCATGTCACCTCACAGCACCGCACCTCACCTCACCTCACCTGCAGCATGCCTCACCTGCAGCATGCCTCACCTGCAGCATGCCTCACCTGCAGCATCCCTCACCTGCAGCATGCCTCACCTGCAGCATGCAGACGACGGTGGAGACGAGGTGGCCAAGGGGCAGGAAGAGGCGCAGGAAGTCCGTGGTGATGTTGAAGGGCAGGTTCGTCACCACCTGGGGGAGAGACACGTAAGGCGGGGCATTAAAGGGGAAGGCAGTGGTGATGTTGAAGGTGTAAACTGGGTCTGACCTCATGCCTGGGTTTGAGGGTGCCTGAGTTAGGCCTTTCCTGTTCAAACAGCCCACAGTCCATCCTCGCAACGGCTTATGGAGCTTCATCTCGAGCCTCTGTAGGTTCGTGACCGGCCAGCCTTTTGGCCATTCTACCCTTCATTTTAGTCACATCAGCAAGAGGCACCCCCCATCTATAAAAAAACAATATATATATGTATACATTTTTGTGAAAATTTGGTTTCTCACCCGCTGTGAACATTTCTTTGTGGTCCAGACGTTGAAGGAGGAAGGAGGCGATCCAGACAGCCAAGTGTGGGATGAGCTCCGCCCTCCAACCACGGAGGCCTAAATAGGCAAGCACTTGCGCACGCCTGTGCGCCGCATGGGCTTCAGCCTTGAGCCTACGCTACCCACCTTGGCTTCAGCCTTGAGCCTACGCTACCCACCTTGGCTTCAGCCTTGAGCCTACGCTACCCACCTTGGCTTCAGCCTTGAGCCTACGCTACCCACCTTGGCTTCAGCCTTGAGCCCACGCTACCCACCTTGGCTTCATCCTTGAGCCTACACTACCCACCTTGGCTTCAGCCTTGAGCCTACGCTACCCACCTTGGCTTCAGCCTTGAGCCTACGCTACCCACCTTGGCTTCAGCCTTGAGCCTACGCTACCCACCTTGGCTTCAGCCTTGAGCCTACACTACCCACCTTGGCTTCAGCCTTGAGCCTACGCTACCCACCTTGGCGCGCACGGCACTGCTGCCTCCACTCCCCTCGCTGCCTCTGCTCGCCGCAGCGTCAGCTGTGGGAGCCGCAGCAGGGCATGCAGCAGCAAGAGGCACCGGCGGTTCGCCCACCACACCCTCCATCCCACTCGTGCGTGCTTCTGCCCCGCCACTCGCCAACGCCCCTTGGCCTTGTGCTGCCCTTCCCTCCGCCCCTCCCAGCGTCTGTGCGTCACCCCCTGCCGTGCCTGTGAGGCGGTGCAGGCGAGCAGGCAGGAAGGCGTGCACGGGCCACTTGAGGATGTCCGCGTGCACCACCTGGCGTGGTGGGCGTGGCACAGGGCATGCAGACAAGAGGAGAGGACGAGGGTGGGCAAGGAGAGGGACGAGCACAGGGCAAGCAGTGCAGGCCAAAGGGATGAGCGATGGCAAGGGGAGGCACATAAAGCAGCTGGGCACGACACATGCGAGGCCAACACAGCCCAACACAACACATGATATCTGACCCACATGGGCCACAACACATGATATCTGACCCACATGGCCACGCAGGCAGGAGGGCACGCGGGCAGGTGGGTGGGCAGGCGTGGGCAGGCAGACAGGCTGGCAGGCAGACAGGCTGGCAGGCAGACAGGCTGGCAGGCAGACAGGCTGGCAGGCAGACAGGCTGGCAGGCAGACAGGCTGGCAGGCAGACACATGCTAGTGGAACCAACCAGCGTTACCAGCGGCAGCAACCATCGCTGCAACCAGCGGCTGACCCATGGCTCATCGCTGCAACCAGCGGCTGACCCATGGCTCATCGCTGCAACCAGCGGCTGACCCATGGCCCATCGCTGCAACCAGCGGCTGACCCATGGCCCATCGCTGCAACCAGCGGCTGACCCATGGCCCATCGCTGCAACCAGCGGCTGACCCATGGCCCATCGCTGCAACCAGCGGCTGACCCATGGCTCATCGCTGCAACCAGCGGCTGACCCATGGCCCATCGCTGCAACCAGCGGCTGACCCATGGCCCATCGCTGCAACCAGCGGCTGACCCATGGCCCATCGCTGCAACCAGCGGCTGACCCATGGCCCATAGCTGCCGGGCACCTGCTGCCGGTCAGGAGGCGTGAGCCTGAGGTGGGTGGGTGAGTGCACCTCCCCAGCTCCCCCCCTCGTGACACATGCACTCCAGCTCTGGCCGGCAAGCAACCAGCCCAGCCATTGGTGGGTAGCAAGGTGCAGAGCAGCATCACACGGCCAGGTCACCCCACGGCACACAATACCGCCAGCCACCCCACGCTGGACACGAACCCAGTACCCATCGGCACTCACAGGTTGTATGGTAGGCTTCTAGAGTCGCTTGGGTAGCCCACCACGTGTGTATCACCACTTACATGCCCGCGCATATCGTAGCAGTGAATATGCTTCATAGCGCTTGTCTTACACTTGCTGTACCGTTTGTTACATTCAATGAGAAGGACCGTTAGGGGAGGGGAGGGACGTGCGCACCTCGACTTGTGGGCACTGGGCGAAGCGCTCCCGCACCAGCTGCACCATGTCAGGGTCCTGAGCGGTGCAGTGCGGTGGGTGGATGTGATGGGCATGAGGAATGTCAGAGACACATGGGGCAAGCGAAGCGACTTGACAGGGCAAATGAAAACATGGCAGCGATGGGAGGGAGATGAACGATGGGAGGGAGATGAATGATGGCAGGGAGATGAATGATGGCAGGGAGATGAATGATGGCAGGGAGATGAATGATGGCAGGGAGATGAATGATGGCAGGGAGATGAATGATGGCAGGGAGACGAATGATGGCAGGGAGATGAATGATGGCAGGGAGATGAACGATGGGAGGGAGATGAATGATGGCAGGGAGATGAATGATGGCAGGGAGATGAATGATGGCAGGGAGATGAATGATGGCAGGGAGATGAATGATGGCAGGGAGATGAATGATGGCAGGGAGATGAATGATGGCAGGGAGATGAATGATGGCAGGGAGATGAACGATGGCAGGGAGATGAACGATGGAAGGGAGATGAACGATGGCAGGGAGATGAATGATGGCAGGGAGAACACAAGCAGTTGAGGAGGGAGAGAGAATCGGCGGTGGGGGGAGATGTGGGGACGAGCAGCAGAGAGACGAAGGAGTGGAATGACCACCCTTAGCATCTTCCCACAAGAGGCAGCAAACATTCGGCACTGCCACCACTGCGCCTACAATCCGCTTCTCCCCCCCGTCTCCCACTTTCTCCCTACCTCTCACCCCCCTTCTCCCCACCTCTCACCTTCTCCCCGCCTCCCCGCCTCCCCGCCTCTCACTCCCCTTCTCCTCCCCTCGCACCTTCTCCTCCCCTCGCACCTTCTCCACAGCAATCACATGCGCCCCGGCAGCCACGAGTGCGGCGGTGAGAGCGCCCGTGCCCGGCCCCACCTCCACCACCACGTCGCCCGCCACCACTCCCGCTGCCGCCACCGTGGCCGCGCTGATGTCGTCCCGCAGCAGATAGTGCTGGGGGGGTGAGGGGTTAGGGTGGGGGGTGAGGGGTTAGGGTGGGGGGTGAGGGGTTAGGGTGGGGGGTGAGGGGTTAGGGTGGGGGGTGAGGGGTTAGCATGGGGGGTGAGGGGTTAGGGTGGGGGGTGAGGGGTTAGGGTGGGGGGTGAGGGGTTAGGGTGGGGGGTGAGGGGTTAGGGTGGGGGGTGAGGGTTTAGGGTGGGGGGTGAGGGGTTAGGCTAAGTGGCGAAATACGCTTTTGCCTTTAAGCGTATAGCGTTTATCCGCTTGCGTATACACGCAAAACGCAATACGCTAGCAAATACGCAATACGCTCGGGAGTTTTTTTCTGGGCAGCCCAAGGTGAAAATTTTCAGGAATATAAAGAAATCTGCCGTTTTTCACGGCGATCATTTCGCGGTGGTCGAAATGCGCATCGGAGATCTATGGTAGCGGGAATGTCACTTCAATGTTTGGATTCAGGTTGGAGTTGCAATTTCGAATTTCAGGGTTCCACCTCTTGGAACCGAACCCAATCTACGAACTCCAACCTTTCCACTACGTCCCCTCCAACACATCGTTTCTCGTCAGATCTACTTCGTCGTACTCACCTAGTCACTCACTCCTAGTCCAAAACGCAATCAATGTCTACTGTTCCCAACCCGCCACCCGATCCCACGCAAGATAACGATAGGGCACGTCCTCTTTGTGAGACTAGGGAAGTAACTTCCCGATGTTGAGCACGAAGTCTTTAAGCATTTCGCGTCATAGGGGAAAAAATGAACCTGAGACACAACCTCCGTGAATCGCCCCTGTGAACTATACCTAGGGTGTTTTTTTCACCCTGCCCGGGTTTTTTTTACCCTGCCCGAAAAAGCGTATTCCTGGATTCGGGACCTTAGCATATAGCGTATAAACGCATGCGTATATACGACACGCGTATATACGCTATACGCGTATTTCGCCACTTAAGGGTTAGGGTGGGGGGATAGGTATTGATGGGGAGGGGGTTGTGGAGGTGGGGGGGGTTGGGGATGGGGCTGGCAGAGGGTGTTTCAGTCGACTCTACATCCATCTTGCTGCCGCCACCGTGGCTGTGCTGATGCTGCCCCGCACCAGATATTTCTGCCGGGGGGAAGGGCGGAGGGGGGAGGGAGGAGGGGGGAGAGGGGGGAGGGGGGAGGGGGAAAGGGCGGGGTGGGGGGGTGGGGGGGTGACGGGTGGGGCTGGGGTTGAGGAAGGGGTTGAGGAGGGAGTGAGTTGAGAAAGGGGATGAGGAAGGGGGTGAGGAAGGGGGTGCGCAAGGGGGTGCGGCAGGGAGTGAGTGAGGTGGTGTGACAGGAGGAGAGAGGGATTGTGGGGCACGGGGCACGGGGCACGGGGCACGGGGCACGGGGCACGGGGCACGGGGCACGGGGGACGGGGCACGGGGCACGGGGCACGGGGGACACAGTGCACGGGGCGCAGTAGTGGGGTGTGAGGGAGCTGCAAGGGGATGACGTCAGGCCCCGCCACACCACGCTGTGCCACACAGGGCGAGCGTGCCTCCGCCAGGCCCCACCACACTGCCTCCGCCAGGCCCCACCACACTGCTCACACTCTCCCCGCACATGCCATGCCATCACCGCTTGTAACCCGCCATGCACTGCCTCTCCCGCCATGCACGCCCTTTCCCCCGCTTCCCACCTCGCCTGCTCCCCCCCACGCCTCCCCTGCTCCCCCCGCCGCACCTGTCCGAGCCATCTCTTGGCGCGCCGGCTCTTGCTGCGCAGCGCGTCCGCCGTCGCCAGCGCGTTGCGCCGCATTGAGTCCGTCACGGCCCCGCTGCTGCCAGCAGCGCTCTCCGCTTCCTCCGCCGCCGACTTTCCGCTCTCCCTTCTGCCACTCCGGCTCTTCCGCCCTCCGCCGTTCTCTCCCCCATTCGCACGTGTTGTCCGCTGATTGGACAGAGACGGCGCCGCAATTTCTCCACTCCCACCATCTCGGCCGCCTTTCTTTCTCCCACCGTCCGATCCCTCCGCGCTTCGTGCCTCGGCTCGCGCAGGCGCAAAGCGGTCAGCCCCGAGAGGCGGTGGTAGCGGCGCGCGCGGAATTGGTAGGCGGAGCGTGCGGGTGAGCATTGCAGCTGACTAATGCCTTCGGGAGTAGAAAGGTGGACACACCAGGCGGGTGATCGGTAATCGGAATGCACGCGATATTATAAACCCGAAACACAATACACGATACCAGATGTCAATCTCATTCCTCAATCTCTATGCTCTTTCCCTAAATGAATAGTCTGGCACGCGGAAAGGAGGTGGCCGAGTACAAAAAAAGCAAAATAAGGGCGTGGAACATTTGTCCAAAAACAAAATGCCCCGGCAACACTGGTGGCTGGTGACGGGCTAACAACGGTCGAGGCCCAGGGACATTGTTGTACGCATTGTTTGTAACCAGTTGCGAAGTACTACTCTTCAAAAAGCAAATTCAAATGTTAGAGCAACACAAGTATACACTACATACTGTACTACTGGGATATACTTGTCAATCCATACCTGTAAGCGGAACAAGAAAGTGAGTCCCTTTCCGTTCCTGTCTAACGTACGGTCATACTATTAGGCTAAATGCGGTTAAGTTCAACCACATCTAATAACCATCCCATATAATACTCCGGTATGTAATATTCTGTAGTATCAAGTGCAGCGTGCGTCATCGGTACTCGCGCAGCAGGTAGCTGGCAGGGCTGATGGGCTCGCCCCACGTGGTCTTGCTGAGCCCAGTGCCCGCTGCCAGGTCACAGTCAGCAGCGTCACCATCCACCATGGGCGCGTGTGTGTTTGCGTGAGAGTGCGCATGGGAGCGAGCAAAGCCCGCCTTGCGCATCGACGCGGGCGTGCTGCAGCGGAAGACGTCAAGCGATGCCAGTGCCTGCGGCCTCACAGGCTGGAAGGAGCGGGGGAGAAGACGGGCGGGGAGAACAGTGGGACAGGCAAGATGGATGAGATAAGGGCGGTGGGCCAGGCAGAAGGCAAGGGCAGTGGAGGACAGCGTGGTAGCAGTATGGGAGGGATAGTAGATGCAGGAGAGTGAAGGGAGGCGGGGAAAGGGAGGAAATGAGTGTTGAAGCAGAGGGGTTGAGCAGGGGAGCAACGTACCGAGAGCCAGCGAGCGGTGAAGGGCGACATGGGTGAGGCGAGTGATGATGCCACGCCCGCCATACCCGCACGTGAAGGCGGCGTTGGGGAGAAGAGCGACCCCTCCACCCCCACCTCCTGCAACACCCACTGCCCCTCCGACCCTGCTGCCCCCTCACCCCCTCCCACCAAAGTAGATCCTCCATTACCCTCTCCTGCCTCTGCTCGGCCCAAGCTGTTCCCCTGCCCCTCCCCTGCTGCTGCTGCTCGCACTGCTGCCACGCGCTTGAGAGGGGGTGGGGACAACACACCAGCACAACCGCCTGCTGCCTCTCCCTCCGCCTCTCCACCCTCGCCCTCTCCTTCCCCCTGCACCTGCACCTGCTGCTGCGGCTTGCCCACACACCGGTGCAGCGGCGGTCGCACCCGCCTCACCTTCCTCTCTGAACCCTCCTCTCCTCCTCCCCCCGCTGCTGAGCCTGCCTCTCCGCCATTCGCTCCACCACCACCGGCGCCACCCTCAGCAGCACCAGCAGAGCCACAAGCAGCAGCACTGGAATCAGCTGGTGGGTCGGCATTGTCAGCAGCAGAGAAGGGGCGCTTCAGCGGGCGAGGAGGAGACGTGGAGGCGTTGTGTGTTGCTGGTGCCTTGTGCTGTGGCGCTTGTGGTGATGGCAGTGCCATGCATGGCTTGCCTTCTGCTGCCACTGCTGCGTCCACGTCACTCACTGCCTCAGCACACTCAAGCGGGTCAACCTCACATGCACCAGGTGTTGCATCAGGTGCTGCAGAAGCAGCAGTGTGGCCATGGGCAGCACGTGAGCCCCCCTCAGCCATGGTCTCACCAACCTCTGCTACTGCCGCATCACCAGCCTCTGCAGACGCACACTCAGCACCACTGGCAGCAGAACCAGCAGCAGTGCCACCGCCACTGCTACCAACAGTAGTCAGGGCCACCCTCGCACTACCGGCCCTGCTGCTTCCCTTCCCATGAACAAGGGGCAGCTGGGGCTGCGCAGGTGAGGGCATCTGCAGGGGCGGAGGCGGTGCAGCAGCAGCAGCAGACGTGACAGTGGCAGAGGCCATGGTGCTTATGGCGGCCATCAGGGATGCCGCAGGAGGGGAGGTCGCTGGTGTCACTGAGGGGGACAGCGCCCCGCTCATGCACGACTGGCTGCCGCTGCAGCTGCTGTAGCACCCTGAGTAGCTCACGCTCGCACCTGAACCTGCCAGCTCCGGCGAGCAAAGCTCCCTCGGTGCGGGCCGAGCCTTAGCTGCTGCTGCAGCTGCTGCAGAGGACAGCAGGCGCCCGGATCCAAAAGGCCCTGCAGGGACCGCCACTGCTGTTGCTGTTCCTGCTGCTGCTGCCCCTGTGCCCCCAGCAGTGCCAGTGCGTATGTGCGAGGGCAGGGCTCCTGTGAGGGGCGGTGGTGCACCGGAGGCAGCCTGCAGGATGCCCCTGAGGCTGGCGAGCCCAGGCCCCACAGCCGCCACCTGCCAGTCAACGCCTCCCCCAGGCAGCACCTTGCGGATGAGCCTCCTCGTCTGTGCCTTCAGGGCCGGACCCTTGTGTGAGCCTGCTGCTGTGGTGCTGCCTGCCTTGGTCCCAACCTTCACTGCAGCAGCTACAGCAGTGTCAGAAGAGTCACACGGCTTGCTGTCTGCACCGCTGGCACCAGTGCCCTGCACACACCTGCTCTCTTGCCGCTCCTTCTCCCCGTCTGCACTCCCCTCCTCCGTTGCCCCCACCTTCTCACCATTCTCCACCACTCCTGACCGCAGCGGACCCACTCTAGGGGAGGCCACCACAGGAACTGTACCCAGACGCGATCGCCCCACCACTCCCACTGTTGCCCCGGCACCAGCTGCTAGTGACGCTGGTAATGGTGGTGCTGCTGCTGTAGCAGCAGCAGGGGCAGCAGGTGCAGATGTGGGCTGAGGAGCATCAGCATGCGCAGGCGCAGTGGCAGCAGGAGAGTCGGTAGAGGGGGTGTCTGAGGAGGGTACGGGCGCGAGGGATGATGGGGACGAGGCATCTCGAGTGGACGAGGCAGAAACACAGAGCGGGGGGGATGGGAGGGTGGAGGACGAGGAGAGCGGCTTGCTCAAGGATGCACCCTGCTGCTCGTGCTTCTTTGAGTGCGGCGTGGTGAGCTCATGACTGGGTTTGCTGCCATGCATGGCGTCATGCATGTGGGTGTCAGCAGCCGCATCCAGCTCCAAGTGCAGCACACGGCTCAGGGGCAGGGCCCCATTGCCAGCACCAGAAGCGCCAGCAGCGCCAGCAGAAGCAGCCACCGTCGCAACTTCCCCATCCAGCTTCAGCTGCTTCCTCGGAGACACTCTCCCTTCCGGCCTTGCTCCTCCCATGCCGCCTCCTCCCCTCGCCCCTGCCTGCACCCCATCCTCCTCGCCCTCTCGCGCGCGCTTCTTGCCCTCAGGGCTCACGCTCTTGCCACGTGTCAGCGTCCACGTCACCGGCCCGCAGTGAACGCCCCCCTCTCCATCCTCACCGTCAATGGCAGCTGCAGGCAGAGCGAAATCAGCCGGATCCTCCTCTTCCTCCTCTTCCTCCTCCTGTGCTTCCTCCTCTTCCTCCTCCTGCTCCTTTCCCGGTCCCTCCTGCTTTCCCTCCCTTTCCTTCACTTCCACTTCCTCCTCCTCCTCCTTCTGCTCCTCCTTGTCCCCCAGGTCGGTTGCACGGCCATCCTTCACAGCTGCCCGCCTGCACGCGGGGCGTTCACACTTCAAACTCCTCTGCGGGCTGCTCTCGCCATCCAGGCCCCATTCGCCCGATTTCTCACGCCGCAGCCCCTCGCCGCCCCTCCCTTTCTCATTCCCGACCTTTACACCACTCTCACTCCCCTTCTCATTCTCGCTGCCACCATCCTTACTGTCAGCACCATTGCCCATCCGCAGAAGCAGCCCGCCCTTATCACGCCCGTCACGGTCAACATCGCATGTATCACTCCCCTTAGTGACACCGCCTTCTCCAGCCCCACCTGCAGTGGGGGCCTCCTCTGCACCCGCTGACCCTGCTCTGCGCTGTGCACTGCCCAGCCCTTCTGGCTGCTCCCTCAGCAGAGCCAGCACCCTGCCCGATTCCAACACTCCCTCCGCCTCTCTTCCACCCTCTTTTCCCTTCTCCCCCCGCTCCTCCCCGCCCTTTGCGGCACCTACAGTAGCCCCGTCAGCATCATCGGCAGCAGCAGCACTATCAGCCGCAGCAGCAACACGAGAAGCAGGTGGAGGCGTGGCAGCAGAAGCGTTGGCAGTGACCTCAACCACCCTCCTGCGCTTGCGGAAGATGGAAGGAGGGCCGTCCAGGGAGCGGCCAGCACTGAGCAGCAGGCACGACATGGACAGCGAGGCAGCGCACGAGGGGGGGCTGCGGCCAGAGAGGAAGGGCGAGAGGCCTGAGAAGATGGCGTTCACTGGCGTCTGACAGCCCGCAGAGGGCGCGGCAGGCTGCATCTGCCTGGGGGTCTGGCAGCCGGTGCACGGCAGAGGAGGTAGCATCTGGCGCAGGCCGAGAGGCGAGGAGAAGGGCTGCGCAGAGGAGGAGGGGAGGTTGAGAGCGGTGATTTGCGGTGAGGCAGGCAGGGCGGGGCCGGTGGTGGGGCTGAGGAGGAACGAGTCGAAGAGGGGGGGCAGGGGCACGAGGGGAGGGGGCGCGGAGGAGACAGCAGTGGAGGGCGCAGCATCGAGGTGGTCCAGCTGCGGCGGCACGTAGAAGAGCGAATCGTCCACCGCCCTTTCCACTGCCCTCTCCACCGTCACCAGCCCTGGCACTGCTGCTGCTGCTGCTGCAACAGCCGCAGCAGACGCAGGAGTGGGAGTATTCGCAGCAGCGGCAGCAGCAGCGGCGGCGGCGGCGGTGGTGGGGCCAGTCGCTCCTGCATCAGTCACCGCGGATCCAGCCTCGCATGCAAGGCCGCCCTGACTGCCCTGGAAGCCCTGAGTCGCATGGTACTCATGCACTGCCTGCTCCGCTGCTTGGAACAGCGGCTCTGCTGCCGCCCCGTCCAGACTCAGCAGCCGCTGCACCGCTGCCGCCTCCTCCTCCTCCGCCCCCTCGCGCCCTCGCATGCCGTCACTCTCCGCCTTCACTTCCACCCTGGACTCCCAGGCTCCGCCTGCACGGCTTGCTGCGCGCCCTTGTGCTGCAGCGTCGCCTGCCAATGTGGTACCGCTTGGAACAGCGTTGCTGCCACCCGTTACAGAGTTTCGGCTGCCTGGAAGGATTTGGGGTTTGGTGTCTGCTAGCATAGCAACGGGGGGCGGAGAGGGAGTGTTAGCAGCAGGGGCAACTCGAGGTGGTCCTGCTGCTGCTGCCGCTGTTGAGGCTGGTGCTGGTGGTGCTGATAACGCTGGTGCCACCGGTGTTGCTGCTGGTGCCTGAGTGGGCATGAGAGGCACGGACAACAGGGATGGGGCTGCTGCTGCTGCTGCAGCTGCTGCTGGTGGTGGTGCTGGTGCTGGGACTGGCGGTGCGGTTTGAGGTGCCATGTGAACAGGTCGCTGTTGTTGCTGTTGATGCTGCTGCTGTTGCTGTTGCTGCTGTTGCTGCTGTTGCTGCTGTTGCTGCTGTTGCTGCTGATGCACGTGCAGTGGACCTGTGGAGTAGGCCGATGGCAAGGAGAGAGCAGGGCGAGCAGCAGAAGCAGGGGCAGGAGCAGGAGGAGGAGGGCAGCAGGGAGTGCAGGCAGGGTGGGGCATGGGGCAGCGGCAGCGGGGCTGCTGGCCGTACTGGGGCTGCGTGGGGCCGGCAGTGAAGGCAGCCGAAGCTGGTGGCGGTGGTGGTGGTGAGCGGGCGGGTGTGGGCGCGCAGGCGGAGGAAGAGGGGGCGATGATGGAGTGTGGTGGAGGGGCGCGGGGAGGAGGAGGGGGAGGGCAGGATGGCATTTGGAGACCCCGCTGCTGCCATGGTGGCATTGGCCCGTTCTGATACTGCTGCTGCTGCTGCGGTGGCTGCTGTTGCTGCTGCTGCTGCAGTAGCTGCTGTTGTTGCTGCTGCCGTGGCTGCTGCTGCGGTGGTTGAAATGCTTGCTGCCCTTGGCTTTGATAATACATAGGCTGTGACGGCGGTTGCTGGCGCTGCTGCTGCTGCTGCTGCTGCTGCTGAGGTGCGCACGTGGAGCTTGTGTGCGGCATGGGCCCTTGCTGCTGAGGCAGGTACGCCTGCTGCTGGCTGGGCCCTGGCCGCGCTTGGGGGAGGGTGAGAGCGGGGCGCGAGGGCAGGTGCAGGAAGGACGAGGACGCAGGGGCAGCGCTGGGGGGAGCGCCAGCAGGGGCGGCAGCAGGAGCGGGAAGAGGGGCAGCAGAGAGGACGGCTGGTGAAGGTAGAGTGAGCGCCGGGCGAGCAGGGACCGGTGCAGATGTGGGGGCAGCATAACGTGAGGTATCCCTTAGGGGCGCAAACCCTGACTGGTTCTGATGCTGCTGCTGCGCCTGCTGCGGCCACGGCTGCATGGCTTGTGGCTGGCTGCTGCTGCTGCTGCGGGTCATGCCCATCCCGCCAGGCGCATTCAGCGGCCTGCTGCACGCTATGCGCAGCAGACTCGGCTCCGCACTTCCCCCCTGCGCGCTGCTGTTGGGCGCACCAGAAGACAGAAGCGCGGAGCCCAGTGCGAGCGGGGGGCCAGAGTTGGTGGGGGGATGGGGGGGCGCGGCGCTGCTGGCGGGCATGCTGGCGCAGCGGGGGGCATTTGCGATGGCTGGGGGCTGCGCTGAGGGCATGCGGAGGGGTGCGACGGAGTTGAGAGGCGCGCACGCGTTGATGGAGAGGGGCGCGGGGGCGCTGTAGGGAGGCGGGCAGCGCGGAAAGGAATTGCTGCTGGCTGGCGGAGGTTCACGTGAGCACAGCGGCTGCTGCTGCTGGAGCTGCGACTGTTGTTGTTGCAGCTGCGGCTGCTGCTGCTGCAGTTGTGGTTGCTGTTGTTGCTGATGCTGATATTGATGCTGCTCTGGCTGGTGCTGGTAGTGACCGTTCGGCTGAGCTTGCTGCTGACTCTGCACCATGGCCCCCTGTTGCACCATGGCCCCCTGTTGCACCACGGCACCCTGCTGCCCCACGCCCTGCATTGCCACTCCACCGTGTGCCACGTCAGCGCCAGCACCACTGCCACCATCGCCTTCCTCATCCCCATCAGGGCGGGGTCCTTTCTCTTCGGGAGAACACGCCAGGGCGGACGGCAGTCTGCCGCCTAGCAGCGTGATGGTGCGGCTGGTGGGCCCCACGCGACAGCGGCCGCTCGTCAGGTGTACGCCCGGCGCCATTGGCTGGACCTGCGCCTGCCCCTGTGCCTGCGTCTGCGCCGGCCCCTGCGTCTGGGGCTGGGGCTGCGCCTGAGGCGCACTGCATGCGCGCAGAGGGGCACCGCTCACTCTCTGTGAGCCGCTGGACATGGGATTGGGGCCGCTCGCCACTGGCGCTTGGCCGGGGCGGGCAGCAGGAGGTCCGGAAAGGGACAGGCGCGCGGAGGGGGCGGAGTGTTTCTCCGGGGATGTGGGGGGGCTGGCACCCGCGCTGGCGGAAGGCTGAGCCGGACTGGGGGCGGCGGCGGAGCGAGGCGTGCAAGAGGGGTTTGGGATGGCGTCGGATGGTGAGGGACGGGACAACGACACGCCTGGACGACTGCCAGACACAGTTGGATAAGCTCTCTGCTGCTGCTGGTCGTGTTGCTGCTGTTGCTGTTGCTCCTGCTCCCGTTGTTGCTGCCGACGTTGCTCTTCCATCATCTCTAGCTTCACCACCACCTGCTGCGGAAGCACCTGAACGTTCCCCTGAAAGTGGCCTCGGGGCAGCGCAGGCATGCCCACCGCCACTTCCATCTGCTCCTCCCCCTGCTGCGACCCTCCGTTCTCCCTCTCCCCCGCCCGCTCCTTCCCCTTACCCTTCCCTTTAACCTCGGCCCCTCTCGCCCCCTCCTCCGCTTCCGCATCGTCATCAACCTCCTCCCCTCCATTCTCCTCCTCCTCTCCCCCGCTCCCGCTCCCGCAGACGCCGTCTCCGCCGATGGGCGGAAGCGGCTTCCCCTCGCGCGCGGCCTGCAGCACTTCCGCGGAGATGGGGATTTCGGGGAGCCCGGGTGACGGCGGAAGCGCGAGGAGGTCCGCGAGAGTGCAGAGCTCGGCGCGCTTCTTCATGCAGCTGTTCCAATGGTTCTTGATCGAGTTGTCCGTCCTGCCGGGCCGAGGGGGAAGGGGGAAGGGTCCGCGGGGAACGAAGCGGGGATAGGAGCAGGACAAACAAGATGAGTAACGGAAGCACGCGCGGATGCACGGAGGCGGCAAGGCGAGTGGATGCACAGACGGGTGCGCAGGCGCGCGCTGACTGGATGCGCGCGCTGGTTGAGCGCGCTTTCAACCAATACCGCGGGACGAGCCTGCAGGAGAACACAGGCACGACAGGCAACCAGCCTACCACGCGCGCGACGAGATGCGGATACCCCTCCCGACCAACTGCAAACGCATCCAGAAAACGCAGGCACTCCCACACCCCGCACGCACCTGCCGGGCAGGAACTTGGCGATTTCGGCCCACTTGTTGCCGAAGAGCTTGTGCGCCTTGATGAGCTGCACGTCCTCGTGCTCGCCCCACGCCTCCTTCTTGATGCCCGGGTTCAGGTGGTTGTGCCACCGCTCGCGACACTGCTTGCCGATGCGCCCCGGCAGGTGCTGCGCGATGAGCGACCACTTCTTTGCGCCGTACTGCGCCACCAGCTCCGTTATGCGCTCGTCCTCCTGCCAGCGCGCGGGGAAAGGGCGGAAACGGCGGCGGACACACGAGTCATGCGCGCGATGAGGTGCGGTGCGATGAGCGACGAACGATGAGCGATGGCCGATGAGCGATGAGCGATGCGCGATGCGCGATGAGCGATGAGCGATGCGCGATGAGCGATGAGCGATGCGCGATGAGCGTCATAATGGTGGCACAGTGCCGCGCCGAGGGCAAGGCTGGAAGAGAGGAAAACGAGGCAGACACGACATGAGCAGTCAGGAGTATTGGAGGAGGTTCGACGACCTGCTCGGTACCAGGCCGTTGCTAACATTGCTGCGTAGAACGTCTTTCCGAATCTGAGTTTAGGCTTGATCGGCAGCATCGGCCAACCGAAGAACGAGAGCGACGCAAGTGAGAAACGTCGGCGCGCTGAGAGACGGCTCTCTCAGCTCCACCCAGCTTGACAAACTGCCTCTTCCCTTGACTGCTCGATCCAACGTGCCGACATGCTTGGTCCGGCCCTCCACCCGCTTGATCTAAGAGCGTACCTCTTTGGTCCAGGGACCCTTCACAAGGTCGGGGTTGAGCACCTTCTGCCATCGGTGCAGGCACTGCACGTCCGTGCGGTCGGGGAAGAACTCCGCTGGTAGCGAACCGGGTGGGGAGGGGAGATCGGATCGCAGGCGAAAGCAACAGCAAGCCGTTAACACGATGTTACACACATCCGACGCTATCACCTTTGCGGCACACTTTTCGCTAGCATCACAAAACGTAAAAAAGGCTCACCTATTTTACGCCAGTTCTTGCCCTTATAGCATTGCACTGCTCGCCGTAGGATTTCGTCCTGACGCGAAGGAAGACGGGAGGAAAGGGAGAAGGGGAAGAGGCGAGCGTCAGTCTTATCCAGCCATGACATGACTTTGCCCGCACACGAAACAGTCAAGGGACTCAGAAGCATTTTTTTCTTAAAAACATGAGCTGTAAGAAACAAAGGAAACCGCCGAAGAAGCAGACTCGATGGCGTTCGGAATACTTTCTGGCCTTCCCCGGCCGAAGCGTACAGGCTGCCTACGCCAACTGCTTAGTGAAATCGAAGTGGTATGGATGCGAGGGTAGGGTGCGAGGTGGAGGGTACGGCTGCGAGGGTGCATACCTCCTCGGCGGTCCAACCACCTCTCGACGACCGGCGGGTGGGTCCGCCCGTAGGGCTGCAGGAGAGGCAGAGGGGAGCACGGAAGAACAGAGGAATGAGCAGCGGCGGGAGCGTGAACGGACGTGCTTCCGAAAGCCAGCATCACGCATCTTCTTCACGACGGATTGGCCTTGCCGCGACGACTAGGACTGAGCTGTCACGTAGCGGTCGTGCGAAAAGCAACCAGCTGTACTCTGGCTTCGGTACCCTAGTCAGGGCTCGCACTAATGTGAAGCCACACTCACCCAGTCACGGGAGGCAGCGTCCTAAGCACGTCTTCCTTGTCGCGCGGAATGCCGCTGGAATGGCCTATCTCGTACCCCCCGCTGCTCTGCGGAGCTCCGCTGCCATGAGGCTCGGGATAACTGGTCAGCGTTTCGTGATCTCCTGACGCTCCTGCCACGCTAGGCATGTACGGACGGTTATCCGTCATTATCGCATGTCTTGGTCGGGTATAAAATAACATTAACTACTTGCTAATAAGAATCGTATCTATCTCGCTAGCATTCAGGAACTATTTTTCCCCTGGAAAGCCTACTGATGTTCTTATTCGTGGAGCTAGGTTAGTTTTTACTGGTGAGGTTAGTATACAAATGCAGCCAGGTATTCCGTCAGCTGGACAAACGTCGCGACTAAGTAACAGCCAAGAACAGGCAGAATTATTTCGATTTGGCGAGCAGTGTAATGCTCAGCAGTCAGTGTTGCATCGCTCTTCTTATGGCTGCTTGGTGGAAGTCACGAGTCTGACAGGAAACATAAGCCGTCAAGTCCTGCAAATAAGCTAAGACACTGTAGCTAAGTCCATGTCAGGGACTTCCATGAGAGCGGGTCCGTCACCCCCAAACAAGCCAGCACCACCAGCAGCAGCAGCAGCACCTGGCAACTGCGAGGGAAGCCCAAGGTGCTGGCTTGCCAAGACGATGACCAAAGCCTACTCTGAACACAAGCTAAACTCGGGCAGAAATGAAGCTAGTTTTGCAGGTGGCCAGCCCGTAGGAACGTCCGTATGCAATAAGCAACAGGCAGTGCCTGCCCGCGCCTTGCAGATTTGCTGCTTGGTGTGAGAAACACCCGCCAGCCCTTGGAGGGCTCCCATATGTCCTTGTCAGGGAAGGGGCAGGCGGCTTGGCCTGCCAAGCCCAGAACAAAGCGACACGGATGCAGCAACCAACCACACAGGTGAAGCAGCGAGAGGTTCGGTTTGGCTTCTGGCTTCGTTTAGGTGCTTCGGGTGGCCCTGAGCTTCTTGGCAAGGAGATCCGAACGGGGTGGTGGTTCAAAAGCCCGCGCCATTCAGGGGTGGTGTCCACCTGTTGCTCCGAATTACCGTTGCAGGTAGGTTTGGTGGGAACGGTTCGCGGCAGTTTTCCCGCCAAACTCAAGTTCAGGCACCGTTGTTCCGTTGTCCTCTTGTGGGGGGTTGTATATTGAGAAGGATGAATTACGGAAATAGAATCAGGCAGGTTGGAAAGTCAAGTTTCGTAATTGTTGAGGGAGCACATAACGAGTTGTAAACCTAGTAGAGTACAGAATCTGAATTCCGTTACTTCGCTCCAATAGTCTTACAAGGAATTTTATGTATTCCCTTCCGTAGCACCCTACTTCATCGTATAGAACACTGTACTGGACCCCAATAGAATTATATGCCCTCACAAAGTAGGCGAGAGAGTGGGCTAGCGATCGATGTATAACACAGAACGATGTGACCATAATAATCTGCGAATTCGATGAAGCTTTAAAGTGTCAAATGTTGTTATTTGCAATAGGTTGTAATGAGGTGCTCCTTAGTGAGTACAACTTAGTTAGGGTTTTCTATTTATATCACCCACATTCATAATCCCATCATTCCTGCTGCGATCAAAAGATGAACGCTGCCAGGATCTCCTCGGGAAGGTTCGCACGCAGATAGATAGACTAAGTGAGTTGACCTCAATAGCAGAGTGAATGTAAAATTCTTGAGATGATTTTAAACATGCAAATACAGCGATATAAATAAGAGTACAGGGGAATATGAATCGACCTAGCTAGCCATGTACTCTAAGGGGTACATTCCCTTATTCAAGTTCATTCCCAACCGTGTGGCGCGTACAGTTACGAAACTGTTCCCGCCCAATTCCTCCTAACTGCAGCTGCCTGATGCCGTCTGCTCCGACGGTCCAGATCCACCCTAACCGTCTGGCGCTTCGAGTCAATTCTGACTCCTCTCATTCGTTCTCGTTACAGCGTGTTTCCTTAGCTGCGGTGAGGAGTGCACTTGTGATGTTCAAGCATTACTATTCGTAACACCCCCCTTCACTGCTGGCCGCAGCTCGACTTGACCTGCTTGACCACTCCGCTGAGTTAGGAGCAGTGTTGATACTACTGGCGTGGCAGTCGCTTCGTGAGAAAGTCTGCTGCCATGTCACCAGTCGGGCAGTAGGTCAAGTCAACCTTGCCCTTGTCCACTTCGTCCTTCACGAAGAAATACCGCAGCGCAATGTGCTTGGTGCGGTTGAAGAAACCAGGTTTGTTCACGATGCGAAACGCGCTCTGGTTGTCGCAGTAAAGACGAAAGGTGGGCAAAGTTCGAATTTTCGCCTCCTGCAGAAGTTCCTCCAAGTAGAGGCCTTCGCGAACTGCTGCAGTTGCTACGATGAATTCCGCTTCGGCTGACGACAGGGCAACCAACTCCTGCTTCTGCGAGTTCCAGGAGATTGGTCCCGTTGGTTCGAGTCGGAACAGGAAGCCAGTCCTGGACCGTCGATTTTCGAGATCTGCTTCGTGATCGGCGTCCACGTAGTCGATGAGGTTGAATGATGGGGTTGGTGCAGTTGAGTAGCACAGCCCAATCTTGGGCGTTGAGACGAAGAACTATAGGGCGCGCTGCAGGTCCAGAAGATTCTCAGCCGTTGGTTTGCGTGAGTACTGGGCCAGCTGACTTGCGATGTAGTAGAGGTCAGGCCTGCATGTGAGAGAGGCAAAGAGCAGGCATCCCAGCTGCTGTTGGTAAGTTTGAACTCCAGCAGGGGATAGGGCTTTGTTGTCAGGTTTGTGGTTCGGTCCTGGAGTTCGGTAGGGAGTGGAGAGCGGTGCAGGTGAGATGTTGAATCGCTTTCCTAACTCCGCTACGTACTTGGCCGCTGAGAGGTGAATGGCCTCAGGCGCGTAGGAGATGTTGAGGCCTAAGAACTGCTTCACCTCGTAGTTGCACGTGATGTCGACGCGCCCCGCCATGCTTTACTCGAACTGCTCGAGTAACTCGTTGCTTGATCCCGTGTAGAGCAGGTCGTCGACGTAGACCGTTAGGAGAATGTATTCACCGCGGAAATCACGGCGGTACATCCCTGGATTGTGCGGCATCTGCTTGAACCCGATTCCAGGCAGAATGTTGTGCAGATACTGCTGCCACAGCCTCGGTGCCTGCTTGATCCCGTAAAGGGACTCGCGCAGTTGACATACGCGCGAGTCCCTTTCGCCGTATGTATGCGGCTGCTCCACGTAGATTACGGCGTCTACTAACGCGTACAGGAACGCGTTCTTGACGTCGATCTTGCGGAGAGGCAGGTGTCTTACGGCTGCGATGGCAAGCAGGATTCGGACGGAGGTGTGGCGACTGACCAGAGCAAACGTCTGGTCGAAGTCGATCCCATGCCTTTGGTCATAGCCACGCACCACCCAGGGCGCCTTAAAGCGCTCGATCGTTCCGACCACTGCGGTCTTCACGCGGAAGACCCACTTCCCTGAGAGAACTCTTGCACCCTTGATTGCTGCGCGGTCGACTAACACCCAGGTGCCTTGATCTCCGCGTCCATCGCCTCGCGCCACTCCTTGCTGTGTGGTCCAGTGAGAGCTTGGCGCGGGTTTCGTGGCCCGACGACACGTGGCGCCTTCGAGGTTGCAGTGTGAAGCCAGAGCAGCTGTAGTCCTGAGACAGTGCTGTCGTGGCGACGTTGCGGGACGACTTCTTGCACGTCGTCGTCATCGCTTTCTGGTTCAGGTGGCGCTGGTGGTGCTGCGCCTCGGCCGCTTCCGCCTATTCCGCCCATTCCTCCTCCAGAGGAATCGTTGTCGCTGTCGTCGCTGTGGCGATCTCCCCATATGAACTCGCCCCTGGTGTCCTGCTCCAGGATTGCTGCAGCGGCTTCGTCCTCGGGCGTTGCGTAGCTGTGCCCATTGTTTGCGTAAACGCGGTTCGCATTCGTCTGCTCGTCGTGGCGGAACCACTCGAGGAGGAGGCGTTCGTAGAAAATTACGTCGCGAGCATGGGCAGTCTTCTGACTGAGTAGGTCCAGCACGATCCACGCCTTGTACTCGTGACTGATGCCTAGGTGAACCCCCCATCGCGCGCGGCTGGCGAACTTGCCGATGGTTGACGTCGGCGGGCGGTATTGCACCATACACCCCCATACGCAGAGCATGGACGTGTCCCCCTTAGTCTCGGTCCATTTCACGTGCGGGGACAAGTTGCCGGTGATGGCGGTGGTTGACAGCAGGTTGTGCACCCGCACGGCATGGTGCATCGCGTAGGTCCAGTAGGTCGGCTTCCACTGCTTCATCAGCGCCCGCACCTTCGTCATGAGCGTGCGGTTCGTTCGCTCGGCTACGCGCTGCTACTGTTGTGCGCAGGGGAGAGAGATGTGGTGCTGAATCCCCTTTTGCGCCAGGTAATCTTGCATCTGCTTGCTCCTGAATTCTACAGCGTCGTCAGATTGCCAGATCTTCAGCTTCTCCCCGGACTGCCGCTGCGCGTGCGCTAGCCAGAGGCGGAATACCTCGTAGGCTCTGTCGCGAGACTCCATGTTTACGACCCACACGTGACGCGTTCCAGCGTCGATGAAGGTAAGCGTGTACATTTCGTCGTCAACTCCGCAGTGCCCCATGTTCAAGAAGTCGCTGTGCACCTTGTGCAACTTGGGGTAGCGGTTCGTCCCTGGCTCGAGCAGCGGGAACGGCTGGTGGCTTAGCGTGGCTTTGGGCAGACGGTGCAGTTGCGCGGATGTGTCGCGCCTCTCACTTCGGTACCATCTGGGCGCAGGAGCGCTCCAGGAGCGAAGACGCCTGCGTCGATGCAGTTTTTCAGCGTCGCGCGTGAAGGATGTCCAAGACGCTGGTGCCAGAGTGCATCGTCGGCACGAAAGCCGGAGGTGCGCATGTAGTGCGCGTGAGCTTCTTTGGGATCTTTGTCAGGTACAGTGGTAGGCTCTGCTGCTGCCTCTTCTGCCGCTTCTTCTTCGTCGTTGGCGGTGGTCATCATTAGCGCCAAAAACTCTCTGTCGCGGATTTCAAAGAGGGGGATATTGGTCCCGGGGATGGTTCCAGGGACAAAGGTGGGTTCACGTGGCTCAGGAGCGGGTCCGTAGACGATGCGACGCGGGGTTGACGGCTCGTTGCCTCAGTCGATGGTGTCCCATGGACCGCGACGCGGTGGGTTGTTAGGAGGGGGTAATGCGAGTGGAACGTGGCGTGGTGGACGACCAAGGGGAACAA